TTCCATAATACGCGAGCCTACCTAAATACAATCGCTGTAAATCAACGGACATCGAAATGAAATATTCTAAATAGCCCGAAAGAAACTCTCTATCGATTCATCGAGCGACAATAATGGCGGTGGTTGGCGAACGGAGGAGGAACGCTGGTGAATTATTTTCAGAGATTTCAGCATCGCGTTGCGTGGAATTACTATCGCGTAAACTTGCGATATCGACGTGTGTTTTTCTCTTTTTTCTTGCCGCTGTGAAAAAAACACACACGAAGTTCATTTACACGGCTAGATCGTTGTCAGTCGTGGGGGCTGTCTATATTTGCGGCGCACGCGATCCTTCGAGCTCGAAAAACCGATCTCGCGGGACGATCTAACCTCACTTTCTATCGGACGTGAGCTCGCGGTACGCGTTTCGAGGAAAAAGGTTGGTCCGGGACGTGAGAGTGTGAATTACGATTGACAATCGGGGGAAATTGGTAATTGGTCTAGTTTTTAGTTCTTCGGTTTATTAGGTCTTCGTAGAAACGGCGATTAGATATGTAAAATGGAGGTTGATAAGATAGCAAGTAGGGCAGAGCGGTTTTTTAAACGTTCGAGCCTCGTTTATGACTAGAGGATTTTCATATAATTTGTATACTTGGTGTACGGTGTAATTAGTGCACCGACGACAAGCTTCATTTGCAGATTAATTGTCGAGCATTGCTTCGATTATTATATTCAATGGCTGAATTGTTATTGCTTTTTTCAGTTAACTCTGTAAATGTTTTATACTGTTGGAATGGGAAAGATTGAATTGCAGCTTGTTTTCGGGAAATCGAAGAAATTCGCGGTTAAAATGAAAAACTTTCTGTTACGAAGTTGTTTAAGAAAATTAGAGTAAGAATTGTCGAGTGGCAATTTTAACCCTTTCCTCGTTCGTGGGAAGAAAATTTAGGGTTCGTTGCAACTCTGCGTTCCAATGGAAGACGCAAGAATTAACGATCAAGGAAAATTATTAAGAAAGGGAAATAATTAATGTCATATTTATCAATCCTTCGCGATCCTATGTCCAGTCCGACTCGACATAAGAATGTTTGCCTTTAGATATCATATAATGATAAATTATAAATGATAACAAATCATTTCTTTATGCATTAATATTATACTGAAACTTAGTATTTTACAACCAGCATCACGTTGAAATGTTGAGATAAAGGGAATACTGCCCGAGAGTGACCAAATGAGTGCGTATTAACTGAACTATTTCGACCGCAAAAGGTTCGTCAAATTTTTCAAGATTCTCGTACAAGATCATCACAGTACCTAAAATATTCCACAATCAACAGACTACACCCACAAAATCAGCCAGAAATCACTGAAATCGTCCCGCAAAAATAAAAATTTAAAAACCACAATTTCACCTCAAATAATTTACTCCGCTCTTCAAGCTCCAACCCGAAAATTTGTGAAACAGCGCGTCTTCCAAGCCGCCACAAAGCTGTCACGCGACAGCAAAAGGGTTAAACTCGAGGAAGATGATCGTTCGGACAAGTATCGAAGCGGGACGATCGAGGTTCTAGCGTTAGCTCGTCATTTTCCGCGGTTAATAAAAACCTCTGTATCTACGTACATACGTCCCCTTTTTATACACGTACACACGACGACCGGTTTCGCCCGCGAAAGCTTATCGATTTGGTCGCGATGTAAACAGCGCGCGTCGTCTCTGCACCGGCGTATATCGCGACCGATCGTGGGGAAACGAGAAACACGATAATTACGTGTTCGGAGAGTTGGTAAATAAGAACGGCCGAGCTCGTCTCTCCTTCCCCTCGCGGTGAGAAGAGTGTGGGTCGTTACGCAAAGATTTCGTAATGCGGTGATTTTGTAACGTTGTTGTGTCCAACGCCGCACAGATCTCCGTCCGTCCACTCGCCTCTTATCTTTTCGACCACACGAGGCAAAACAAGCCGGGTTCGCGTAATTGATTCATTGGACGCGAGCAATTATGAATTATTCGACGATAGAAGGCCTATCGTAACCCCGACGTTGATAACGGTTCCATCCAGTCATCGTTGATAGCCGGTGGCTGTCAATGAAGGAGGAGAGAAGTTATTAGTGCGATGTTGGTTTAACCCTTTGCACCCGGGGAATACCGGGTGGGATAGAAGTCGGCTCGCGGTGGGATCTTGAGGATTTCTGTGGTTAGATGGCGAATTTTTGGAAAAATTGTGGAATTGGTTTGATAATAAGATGTGAGTGATGGCGTGAATGTAGTGAGTATATCGTATGATCTCGAGATTTGGTAAAGCGTGTTTTGGTCGGGGAAGATTTTCGAATTTGGAGGATTTCTGTGGTCAGATGGCAAATTTTTGGAAAAACTGAGTAGGGGGAGTTCCCGGACGTTTAAGGTTTTTCTTAAATAAATCTTTCTACTTGTGCACACGCGACTGAAACGCGTAGTATTCCTATTTAACTTGTTAACAAGTGTTATACAACCACAAAAATTGAGTAGGGGGAGTTCCCCTAGCACCGGACGTTTAAGGTTTTTCTTAAATAAATCTTTCTACTTGTGCACACGCGACTGAAACGCGTAGAAAACTTAGTCTTATTCCTTTTGCCTCCTCTAGGAGATACGCAGAATAACGGCTCGGTAGAGTTTCTATTATTGCAGATATAACCAATGTCCGATATTAGGTGCCATCCGGCGTTAAGGGAACTCTATATAAAAACAGAGAGAGGAGGTAAATTAGTTTTTGTGCTCTTGCGCGTAATTTTGTGTTGTTTAGTTGTGGAAAATGACGAAGTGGCGATTTATGGTATTTTCAAAATTATTGCAATTTCTCTTTGCTGAACAAACTTGGTCAAAATTGAGATATCTAACAAAAATAGCCTTAGGGGCTGAATCGTTCCATGAAATTTATAAATTGGTAAAAGGTGACACCTTTGTGCCGTTTAATTTAAAAAAGAGACGAAGTGGTAATTATTTATGGTATTTTTTGATTAATTTTTCATTCACCTAAGCAGAAATTTAAAAGAACGCAGCGTTGAAAATTCGGGACTCACAGTATTTCTCTCGCGAGACGGCAAATTTTCGTCAAAATTCAGATATAAAAAGAAGTGTTAGGGGTTAAATCATTTTACGCGCTCTTCCAGGAAATTTCTGTGCAAAAAATGGCGCAGTGGTTATTCGTGGTATTTGAAAAGTCAAAAATAGTTGAATAAATTTGGGAAAAATTCATGTTTTGTCATCTCGACGACAGATTCAAAAGAACGTACACTTGTTATTACGACGTTGATTATAACACCGCGATATTATCTGCTCGTTCTAACGCATTGATTGCTCTCATTACAATACCGACAGATAAGCGACATTTTCATACGACTTTTTCCGGAATTTGCTCACTCTTATTTAACATACGTCCGGCAAACGTACCACGACACTTTGTCCGTTTATCTAATATCGATTGCCACCTAACCTGTAATTCGAATCTAATTAGCGAGAAAAGCAGATACAGGTAGCTCTGGTGCATTGTATCTCGAGCAACTGTTTCGACAACTCCGTCAGTTCTGAGTTACCTTTGAAAGTGTTCGCGATTTCGAGCTCGGACGCGTATTAGAAAAGAGGGAAAATTGTGAAAGTTACGGAATCAGATTTCAACCCTTTTTACCGGAACGAAATTGATCTGAATTTAGCATTCGTTAGAAGGCTTATATTCTGATATTTGAGGAAGGGTTAATTACTTAACCCTTTGAGGTCTAATATAAGAAAAGATATTGTTTCACAGTCAAATCTTCATTGGGATGGAAAGGGTTAAGAATTAGTAGTTTAACTTCAAACATTTACGTACCTACTGAATTTTTTTTCATATTTTCTGGTTTCTGTCCCGCTGTGCTTCCTCTAAAGAGATTGTTTTTATTAAAAATTTTATTTGAAAAATTCTGAATTTATTAAAAATTCGCTATTCAGGTAAAAAAATTGGAATATTTTGTT